TATATATATATATATATATATATATATATTAATACACTTAAATTCTTTCAACAAACTACGTGCATAAAAACACTTGTAAAGCAATACGTTTAAAGTTATTTGATGTGTTTCTTAAAAATAAATTAAACTTTCTTGCAGATGCAATGTTTTTCTTTTTTCAAACATAAACTCATTTTTTATTACGTAACTATAAAGTAAATTTACAAAACACTTGTTTCAAAAAACAAACTTAAAATTTTTCGGAGATTTTAACTAGCTATACTTAAAAACAACAACAAAAAACAACATAACGCGATGTTAAATTGTAAGAAAAATAACATTACATACACACTTTCGTGGTTGTAAACCATTAGTTTATAATCTTCAAACTCTAGTGAAATAGAAGTGTTTGAGACAGAAAAAAAAATACTTCACGTGCTGTTTTTTGCTCATGTAGTTTTCTTTTATTTTGGAAAATGCCTTAACATGAACGTGTGAATAAGACTGTTGAAGGGGGTGACAGTGTCGTCTTTTAATATTAATTGCTTTAAGTTGCATCAGATGTTTATGTCATACACACACACGAAAATAAAACGTGTGAGAATAATAAACAAAAGACAATGAAGTAGGCTTTGCTTTAGTTTATTACTTTGTCATACTGAAAACAAATTCATAGATGTTGTATTTTGTTAGATTCTATTACCGATAATAAGTAAGTAATTTTTTGTTCTATTTTATAATTTGTCTTATCTCACATCTATATAAATGTCTTAGTTCTTATATATTATGGAAAATTTTCAGATATTATTACACAAAGGGTATTAAAGGGAAGAAACTCCGTCCATAATCCGTACTAGAAAATGTTCATCGATCCTCACAATATCCTGCACAATGACATTTTTTTTTTCAAATCAACATTCTCCTATTATTGACTGAGAGCGAAGAAAGAAAATAAAAGCGACATTATAAAAGTTAGAGGTATCCCACGCTCTACAAAATTGTAAAATGAAAAAAAAAATAAAACAACAACTAAGATGGAATAGAAAAAAAAGGACATAATTGAACAACAACTTTTCGCCATTGTTTACGTGGTATCGTGATGATGACACGTTAACAGTGGCGAAACGTTATTTCTAAATGACGTACTGTTTTGCTCTTTCATTTTAGCTGATTGTTTTACGCAATATTAAGTTTCCGAGTGAAGCGGATTAGGTAATTTTTAGGCATATAATTTTGAAGTTAGCCTGTATCATGTCTAAACTTTCCTGAATAAAATTTTTTGTTTTTCATTGTGCCTCTAATTATATTTTCTTCTCCTTCTCCTAGGACAAGCATAATCACTTGAAACATGAGTTATGTAGAGTTATTATATAGAAATAATCAAAATAGGCTAATGAATGTTAATTTGTGTTTGATAAAATAACAATATTTTCTTTAATACAGACTAACCTTATACGGACTTTCTTTTACTAAAATA